TTTGAAGCTCAGGCTCTGACATTCAGTCTCAAACTTGCAAAAAAGCTCTCAAAGAAGTTAAATTACCAGAAATAACATAACTTAAAGTAATACCAAATTAACTTCTTCTTACAGGGTTGTTTGCAGTTTTTCAAGTTCTTTCTTGGCACTCACAATTTCTGACTCGAAGAGTTTCTGTCCGGAGAACATTCGACTCTATCATTAGCTTAAATGACTTTTTGTTTTAAGCATCCTTTGCTTTCGTATCCGCAACACTAATCAAATGTTTGACTTCGTCCGTTAGTCTCTTTATCTTTGCAGCCGCCACGTTTTTATCTTCATCCAGTTTTCTTTTTTCCGCAGATTTACCATCCGACTGCTTGCTCTTCAGTAACGTGTCCCTTTCGTAACGTGTTCTATCTATCTCCTCTAAGAGCAGTTAATACGCTCTTAGGTACTTCAAACTTTAGCACTCCACCGCAGTGATTCAGACCGTCTTTACAACGCCGCAATGAAATAAGAGCGTCAAGATTCTGGTTGTCTTCGATTGTCATTTAGTTGACGAAAAAACCGCATTCGATATTCGCTGTTGCGTGAGCAAGAAGTAACAACTTACCAACTGCTGCAAACAGTTCTGGATACTTTTTTGAATCGACCAACTTCAGATTATCAAGGCTGTCATGAGTCATACCAAAACTTGTCATAAAATCACTTTTCTAAAATGAATCAATAGCTCTGAAAATTGCTGCTGCAGCATGATCAGAGAGCTGGTTACTGTCGCTTAAATTTTTTTTCTGCAATTGATAGCCTGGACCAACAATGATGTTTTTTAAGAAAAGCTAAATTTAACGTCGAGCAATTTATGGCTGGAGAGGAAATAAGAAATCCCGAGCAGATTACTTGAATGCAAATTTAACCTGACAAGCAAATCAATTAACAAACGCATTGAAAGTTTACAGGTGTTTGGGGGTAGGAAAACCTATACGTATTTGACATTTTGAACCAATGAAAATCACATCTTTTGAGAACAATGCTCTTCACCGTTAATTTGTTTTCTTTTGTTTGTTTGTTTTGTTATTTCGACCATTTAGATGAGAGTTTTTGGCCAAAACGTTTTTTGCCGAAGTGTTCTATTTACTTTGGTTGAAATGCTTATTGTCAAATGTTTTTTCTCCGAAAAGTCCGGACAGCGAAATACTTCTCTTTGAAAGAATTAAGGTGCAGTTTGAAAAACTAGATGAAACGCAAGCGTCTAATCCGCCGGTAATTATACAATTCAAACCACTGTTGAGGTATAATTGAGCGCTTTCCCACCATTTGACCTTTTTATTTTCATTTACATGCGTAATTTGACATCCATTTACCTGGTGGTTTTGAAGAAAACGATAATCCAACAAAACTTGAAAGTGGAAAACTTTAAACTTTCTGGGAAAAAAAATCAACAAAACCATCCGATCTAAATAAGTACAAGCTCAATTCGTCTAATTCAAAGCAAAGATTTGACAGCTAGACGAACTTTGAAAACACATCTTTTTTGTTCTCTCAGAAAAAATTTTCAATTCTGTTGACTCAAGTCAAACTTATTTTGAATTTTTTTCTCATCGAAAAGATCGTGACACCTTCCAATATATAACCATCTTGCCCAAAAGATCGAGACACTTTCTCAATAAATTACCGTAGTTTTCCAAGCCAGATTCCTCATACGCCATGCTCTTCCTTCTGATCTAACAATTTTCCAATCTTCGGTCGTCTTAATACACTTCTCTCCAAAGCTTAAAAAACTTTTCACTGATTTTTTTCCGATCACAACATGTGAGATGATTTTGTATTTGTTTTTTTTTCGGAGAACATTAGATAGGACACAGCTGAATTTTGAATTATATTAATTCCATATTGTATAACTTAAACTGCAATAAAATTTTCCAACACATTTTTTCAGCTTCCAGAAGTAGCGAGTTGAAGTTTTTGTTCCAACAGCTTCGCGAAGTAGAAAAATGTATAAGGTCTGGTATCATATTAAAGCTCCTTCAGTCGCGACAAGCGTGTAATATACCTCCGGTGCTTCGAACTTTTGGCAAATCAAAACAACGCCATATCTCCGAAACTAAGATGTTTTGTGAAATTTTTAAATCTAGGTTTTCTGTATTTTTTTTACCTTTAGCGTCGTACCGTTAAGTGTCGTACCTCGTTCGCTTAAGAATTTAGGTACTCATATTTGTAGACAAAAATCGCAGCCCCTGGAAAACCTTGATAGCATCCCTCTATCGGATATTTAATTTCATACTTGAGATAATCACTATATTCAAACTGAAAAATCCAAAAAAAATACTTACGCATTGCAATATGCGATAAAACTTTTAGTTTAAAAAAATTTCATTAAGCAAACAAAAATACTACTTGGAAAAAAAACGAAACAGCGAGATAGTGCAATCCGCATTTAAGTAAATAATAAATAGATAGATAAAAGATGATATTATGGATTTTTTTAAACCTTTAATTGATTAAGAACGTCATAGCTCGGAAAATAAAAAGATCTGAGCAGTCAATTGGAGGCATGATTGCAACTCATGAGAGTACCCTCACAACAACCCGTTATAATCTTGAGAATTTCAAATTAGGTAAATTTTTAAAATAATCCACAAAAAAACGTCATAATTCGGAAACTAACAAACTTTGAGCAATCTTATTTGAAGGCAAGATTAGCGACACCTGAGATCACTTTGACAGCGGTGACTAAAGGGCTTGAAATTTCAATTTTTTGAAAGTTTTTTGAAAATATTACAAAAATTATACAAAAAACATCAAATCTCGTAAAATAAAGACATTTGGATACTCATATTTGGAGACCAAATTGGCAACCCCTGTAAAATTCTGATAGCACTACTCTATGGGGTTACTAATTTCAAACATGGTCATGAAATTACCCAATTCAAACTAGAAAGTTGAAAAAAATCAAAGCATTGCAATTTGCGATTTAACATAAATGTGAAAAAACTATTTCGTTAAACATGCAACAATACGCTGAAAAAAATTATACATGGCGAGATAGTGAGGCCCGTATTTGAATATATAACTGCTTTTGATTCTGTGAGAAAAGTTCAAAAAATTCTCAGTATCAAGGAAAAATTTTCCTGAATTTTTCCGAATTTCAGACAAAATTTTACGAAAATTGGTAAATCATGGACGATAAATCATGGCAAATTACAGATATCAATCAACGTGACGTTTTATACACTTGCTAAACTCAATCTTTAATAATTTTCAAATTGCCTAATTCGCAAGAAAATCCGGATTGTGGAAACTAAGTCATAAAAAAAAGCCAAACGCCAGGCCGACAATTTTTTTTTTCAAACAAAAAATTCTCCAAGTGTTAAACAGAAACAGCTCCTGGCCCGATTTGAACTCAAGGCCTTCCTTGCCGCTGAACCGCATGTACCGAAGAAGCCGCGGAATTCGAAATAATAAAAATAATAAGTGAAATGCTACAGACAAAGCCAATAAAAAGTTGTAAACATGTGTAAGAACAAGGAAACCGAAAAATATGAAGAATATTGAACAGCTTCAACTTTCCAACTAATATATCTCCCAGTGAAGCTCTTTGAATTTCAATTACTGTTCAGGGTGGTTACTTTTTTGGTCACCTTATCCCATTCACAGCAACCTAGATCAATAGGTAATTTTGTATTTTTCGATCAATATTATGCTGCAATAAAAGAACACTTTCAAATAAAAAAAACAATAACATTTGCAACCTAGGTTGGAAAAAAAGAGAGTCCAAACTATCACACAAGCTTTGCTTGTGTAAAACCCAAATATTCTGATTTTTCTCATTTAAATTCTTTAAAAAAAGGTGAATTATAAAAGAGCCCCTTCCGTTTAGTTACGGTCAGTGCACAAGCTGGATAGGGCCGTATCATTTTTTTAATAAAAATGCATATATATCAGCAAACTGTATCATTGTATCAATGAAGTCATAAATCAGATTTTTTAAATGCATCGTCGTAATGTTTATTTATCTTAGCCGTCCTTCCACTACAATGGCGCTTTTAGAGTTGTCGATAAATTAAATTAGTGATTTGCACCCCTTATACATAGAACAGAGCTCCTGAGGAGCGCGAAGCATATTTTAGTTCTTATGTAGTTTATCGATTCCGGGTAGCTTTCTTGTCTTTTTTTTACACTTAGTTTTTCGGCTAATCGCTGCATCGTCAGCGTGTCGGAGAAGCGCCACCGGTGCATCCGAAAATCAGCGGGCAGAAGATACTCTGCTCTACAATTAAAATTCTTTGCTGATATTTGGAGTTCTTGTGTTTCGTGATATTTGTATGCGTAGTTCAGCAGTTTTCTCATGTTTTTGCACAGGGGTTAAAAATCAACACGTCGAAGAAAGCGCGGCTAAACCATGAACCCCAGAGTCCGTTTGCCTTAATGTCAAGTCTTGCCTCATCTTCAGGTGTAGTTGAATTGTTGACAAAGCTTTCGCCTTGCAACGGCTGAAGGGTTCTTGCTGTAACAGGATCTTGAGATTCCAGTACTAGGATCATGGGATTCAAGTACTCTCCAATTGCTTGATTTAAATCAGGGTGGTGGAACATTCTGAGCTAATCGCACAGCAACGGGCTATTCTTGTCTCTTTTTGGAGTATTTTAGAGCCAAGACAATCACCACACTTTATTACTCCCTTCGCGGAATTTTAACTGGAGCAACTTGATCATTTTTTTTTATATGAGGCAATCAGGAATTCTTTTGGGAAGTTATCACGCCTCAACTCTTCCACCGACTAAGAAAGGTACAACCAATTGCTACAATCAGCAATAACTTACTTTAGGCCTTTTTGAATATATAATAGTGGCTAGAACAGTCAGGGCTAACTGCACAACGGGCGGCTACTCTCCGGTTTTCTCTTCGACAATAAAAAAAGCTTCAGGTTAAATCAAAACCTCTTGCTCTCTTGAAAATGAAAACAGATATTAGTCAATACAATTTAAGTTCAATTATGAATTATAAAATATATCTAGTTTTCAATATTCAATTATATTATTCTACTAATTTACAACTTTACGAACGAATCCAATCAAACTCAGTGAAACTACTTGGTTTTTACATCAAACAGTGAAAACGTCAAGATAGTTTTGGCCGATAATGAGTTTCATTTCAAATCTTCTGATTTTAAGTTACGACTCGAACGGATTCAGGAATGCTTGGGCCGGTTTGACTGTCATTGGACCCTGTCCCGGTTGATGGTTATGCTGCTGCGAGGCTCCATCGTTCAAAAACGAGTCGATATCCTGCTCCGACAATGCACTGCCATTAGTTGTTTCGGGCTTTCCTGCACTCGAGGCAACTGGTAAACCAAACGCATCAACATCGCCAGAAGCAACCGGCGTTTGAGCTGATGCAGTGAACAGCAATTCTTCATAGGTCGGGTTTGATGCAGCAGCCGCGGAGCTTGTTGAAAAGCCCGAAGCACCTGATGGTTCGTCTAGTGTCATTATACTCAGGTCAGAACTCAGTTGAGGCATATTTGTAGTTCGAGGTGGGGGCAAATTACTAGGATTCCCCTCGGCTCTCTTTTTCATGACCGGAACTGTTCCTCCAGCTGGCAACACAGGAACATCTTCAAATCCGGTGAGTCCATTATTTAAAAAATCCGTCCCTGTCAGCGGTTTAGTTCGAACAGGTGCAGTAGCTTGATGATTATCAGATCCAACAAGAACATTATTTTGAGCAGTGGCTTGTTGCTTTCTCATATGTACTTCTCGAATTCGCTCATATCTATCGTACCTCACAAAGACTTGGTTCAGATCATCGTTGACTCGTAGCAGTTCGCATGTTATATCTTCGGACGAAACTTGTTCGATGAGTTCCATCAGCCTTGCTTGCATTTGACGGCATACAGAGTTTAGGTCTTTCAGTAGCGCATATTCTGCAGCTTCTTCCTCACCTGGGTTGAGCTGGCTTAACATGTCAGATAAAATGCGACAGTTGGTCTGAACAACGTCGAGATCTCTTTGCAGCTTGTGAACTTGAGACTGGTTCAAAGCAGCTGGTTGAGAAGTAGGAGCAGGTGGATTTTGAACATGCGGTTCAACAACGCTCTGTGTTCGCCGGGGAATATTTGCTACTGGCTGAGGTGCTTGCCGATGGGCTGGGGCAACTTGGGGAGCAGACATTGAAGCAGATCTCACAGGGAATTCAGGCGGCACTTTTTGAGTTCCAAAACCAATTCCGCCAGCTGTTTTAAGCAACTTAATATCTGCTGGGTCAGATTCAGGGAAAATAATTCCCTTCATTCGAAGTTCCTCATGAATGGTTGCAACACCCTTCAGATCAGGATGGCTAGAAAATGCATCCGTCCAATTTTGAATAAGAGCAACAATTTTCTCCTGAACAGCAAGAGTCGGATTTCTTGTTGGCTGTAAAAGTTTTACGAGATCTTGTATGTAGTCCTTCTGACAAATGTTTATTTGAAATCGGTAACCGCAATTTTTCATGCAGGTTTCTAAAATTGTCAATGTGTATAAAATGCTTTTCGGACTTTTTGAGATTTGAAGTCGTTTGCGAATTGCTCGAGCAGCATCTTTCGGACCTTCCTCCCTGGTATTCACAAAGTCACATATTTCCATAATTGCTGACCAGTCCTCGCTTGGTAAAATTTCATCTGAGGCTCGCGATACCATGAGTCCTACAGGTGTCTGAAGGGCATTGGTTGTGAACTTATCTATCAATGATGTCATGTTTATTCTTCTGAAACAGTAAAAACTAGCCAATACATTAAACACCAAGCGAAGAGGAGCTTCACCTAAATAGTAATTCACAAAGAAAAAATAAGAAAAAGCAAATCTCCAGCGCAGCGAAGAAACTTTTTGCAAGCAGCGTTAAAGTATAAGCCTGACAGTAAGTATACAAAAAGTTAGCAAACACATGATAATTATTTAAAAAATCTCTAAAGCAAACTTGTATGTAAGGCTATGTGACATCCACTTGCTTCCTTGAATTAATTTTAAAATGCAATTAAAGTGTTGACTAGCAAGCCCGTCTCCATTAATCAATCGGATCGGAACCAAAAAAAAATTATTTTGATCAAGCTATGCAAGCAATGAAACTTCGAAAACTTTCAATCTAAGCCATATCGTATATCAATAAAAAAAAAGAACGAATCAGCTCGCGAGAAATTGAACTCTTCTAAGCAAACTATTCAAGCTATGAAACTTTCAAATGAAAAAATAATAAAATGTGAAACCGAATGCTTTCGGAACTATGTCCATCATGAAGTTAAAAAAATTGTTTATAAGAATTTTAAAATGTTAATTCAAACTTTTAGCACATTTAGTGAATCATGCGGATTATAATGTTTTACAATATTTACAGAACGATCAAATCTAGAAAGTGGCAACCATGTCTAAAAAATGCTCTAAAAATTTCAGACCAATCAAAAGTTTACCACTGTAATTACAAAAAAAAATTATGCACATTTTAGAAACATTTTCCTGTAAACTTCTGAGATTTTTCTAGTTTTTTTTTATTCTTGAATGGTTTTAACATTTCGTTTTGGGAATATTTTCGATTCTGACATGACAGTTTCATGAATTTTAGCCATGTTATACATGGACTACAAACTTAGTGTTAATTCCAGGCTCGTGTTGATCTGGCTCGGAATTCATCGTTCGGGTTGATTTTTGGCATTTCCCTCCAAATATGCAAAGACTCATCATATGATATAAAATTCTTTGCAGACTTCATAAAATCATAAATGACCATTAAATGGTTCTCGGTTCTACGCCAAAATACTATCCACCAATCAAATTTAAGCACTATTACGTAAGAGTTCCGACCTTTGAATTTCAGTTTTGATGAACTAATTTTAGGTAGTCATAACGCAAAGAAAATTGAACGGTGAACAAACCAACAATTATGAACAGTTTTTTTCATAACTCACATCTTAATACGGCGTTAAACCATAATAACACATATGACAAATGAAAAAATGTATTATTAAAGTTCAAAAATTTCTTACCTAGACGCCTCTCATACAGTGAGCTCGGTATTTGCTATGATTGATTCTAAATTGTTTTTTTTTAAGATTTAAATAAATAATAAATTAAATTTAATAAATAAAAATTTTTACATAACACAATCTTTTTAAAATAAATTTACTTTGATATAGCAAGGAAGCCAGCCGGCAGACATGGACGGGAACAGCTAGGTCGGAAAAACCTTTAACTGAATTTGTCTTGAATGACGTCAATGAAGAAGAAGAGGAAGAAGCTGAAGACAGAACACTTCAATTACCGTAAAAAAGTCATCAAAACTGTGCATCAAAACAGTACAGTGTAACAAAATTTCAATCGAATTTTCAGATTAATTGTACAAATAAAATTTTATAAAATGAAATTAACAAATGATTAAATTGTCGGATAAATATCATAATCTAAAATTTGTCATTACTTTTAAAATTACCCTGTACTTAATTTAAGATTATTCAAGCGTAAAACATCGGTAAAATTAACTATGATTTATAAAAACTACCTATGCAAACAGAGCTCATTAAAAATTTTTCAAAGCAATTTATTCGAGCTATGAAACTTCGAAATTATCCAAGTAATTTCACGAAGCAAATCGAAAGCCGGAATCGCTTAGCGAAAAGTTAAATGGTTCCATTTAAAATTTTTGATGGTACTGAACGAGAATTACATCAGAGCCTGCACAGGCGATTTCATGTCAGACCCTATAAAACAGACAGTGGGTGTCCCACAAGGAGACAAACTCTCGCCTCTTCTTTTTGCAATTTACATAGCAGACTTGGTGGGATACCTGAGTGCAGGCGGCAGTTCCAGCATTTTCTATGCAGATGAACAAGCACTATGCTCAGATTCGCTTGAAAACCTCCAGAAATCGCTGCACCTCCTCGAGAGTTTTTGCAACCAAAACTACTTGAAAGTGAATGTAAAGAAAACTAAAGTTATGAAGTTCCACAGAGGGCAGGTTGAGCAACTCTGACAAGCTTTGGTATGCCGGAAACCCCTTAGAGTTTGTCAGCAGCTTCGTTTATCTAGGTGTCAACCTCTCTACGAGAATCACAACCTCAGCACATCTACAAAGACTCGAATCGAAGGGCATCGGAGCTACGAACATGCTGCAAACCAAAGCCTCTGAGAACGATGTCATTTTTCTGCATTGCGACTGTATCATGCAATAACCATCCCAGCAGCAACTAACGGCCTCTCTCTCTTTGGCGCAGAGACGGAAGAGAACACTTATGTCCAACACATCGATTTCATAGCCGGTTATTACTGGAAGAAATGGGCCCAGCTTCCGAGTAACAGTCCAACGACACGTCTGCGTACAAGAACTTTTGAAAACGACCACCTCAACATCCAGAAATCAAAGCTTTACAACCGACGGAGAATTGCAAAGTACTATACTAACGGCAATCACGAACTGCTCTGCCATAAAACCCATTGCTACAAACTGGAAAAGCATGACGTCGAGGCGGAAAGAGGTTTTACTGCGTATGAAGCTTGTAAATGTAAGAAATAGGTTGCGAAAGACACCTCAAAGTCTGTGTTCATTTCGGAGACCTGTCGACATATCTACGATTATCTGCAATCAACCAGGAGACTTTTGACGAACAGCCCACAGACTCGTACCAGGCGTACATTGACCCCAGAGAACAATCACACCAAAGGGAGACGGCTCGTACATTGACCTCACAGGACGATCAGACCAAAGGGAGACGGCTCGTACATTGACTTCAGAGAACGACCAGACCAGAGGTAGACGGTTCCTTCCTTGACCCCCAGAGAACGACCAGACCAAAAGAAGACGGCTGACGATGACTTATAGACGACATACTCTGCTCCAACACAATCCTTTCAAAACATTCCTTTTAAAACTGAAAACTCAATTTAATCATTTGTCTTTGTAAGACGTTCAATTTACCATTCTTCTGCATTAAAAATTTTTCATGCAATTAAATATTGAAGCAAATCAAAAAAAAATTAAATAAATGATGAAAATCCATCAGTACCATCAAATCGGATGAAAAAAATTAACTTGTTCGATTGGAGCTTTTTAACCGATAACACTAAGGTTTTTCTAGTTATCTCAAAGGACGAACTGTTTAGCAAAATTTTATTATACAGGCTATTAAATAAAAAACAGGAAAAAATTTGAATTATTAACATACAGTGTGATGGCGCTATTTTTAATTTATTTCCTAGGAATATTGGACAATGCTTTACTATAAAATTCAATCTTTCGATGGCGAGCTTTTACTTTACTTCGGAGCAGGGCAGACAGTATCTGATCTCACTCTTAGATAGTAAAAGTAGTTAGTTATTTTAATACTGAATTTCGTCTTACTGTTCGTCATGTTTCAATCTCATCGCTCTCAGTGTTATAATTTTCACACTGGTTCTATTCAATAGTTCAAATATAATCATATCTACTTGGGCCGGCACGCGCCAGATGAAAGACAATAACAAAATTAGCGGCACTTAATAAGGCGAGAGTTTACAATATTTTATACGGCAAGTTATAACCGGATCAGGATGGAGTAATTATGTTCTCAGATAGGTAAACAGATAGATACTTTTTCCGGTTTATGAGTGGTTTTAGCAAATACAAGAATTGTTTGTGGTGTTTCGTGTTTGAGCAAGTGATTTTACATTCTTATGATGGTATACAAGTTCAAGCTCCATATATGGTAATAAGGAAATATGGATGATTATAGCACTCTTAATATAACGGACTTTTCTAGGAAGTTACATACAGCAAGCAAATCAGTCCCCAAAAACATATTTTTGCATAGCAAGCTTTTTTTAGTAGAATCATTTTTCAAAAATTTTAATTTATCAAAGCAATCTATTTAACCAAAGGAACGTTTTTGTGATTTCATTGACAAAAACGGTTCGCAATTTAAAGTTTTCCCAAGCAAGCTACCAAATTTATAACAGATCTGAAATTATTTTGTATAGCTCGAATCGGGTTTTAATTGTTTTTTTTTCAGTTGTTTCAATTAAGACTTTGAGATTAAAAATTTAATCTTTGATAGCCAAAATTTGTTTGTTTTATTTGGTTGTTTCGTTTTAAAATGTAAAGATTCTTTAACTACCAAATTTTGGATATGAAGTGGAGGAGCACTGTTTAGTCTTGCAATTGTATTGTGTTCATCTTGTTTAGAGCTTCGAGTTGTTCTAGAGAAAAATATGTTTTACGAATGAATGCAAAATTGAAAAACTTTCTGCTTAAACTTCTTCTAATCATTGAAACTGATAGTCGGCATGTTTGTTTGTTAATTGATTGACCTCTGCTTTCTTCAACGTTTGCTCAATAGCAAAATTAAACTGCAGCAATTATGAAGCCTTGAGTTTTTCAATTTACTTATTAGATTTATGAAATAAGGTAGATTTTCGTGAAAAAAATGTACCTGAACCTAGCAGCTCAAGCCAGCCAGCCGGCAAAAAAAGATGAAAGATCCAACTTAAGTTTTTTAAAAGTGTGCCAGTCGGTCATATTTGGATTTGGAAGTTTGATCTTGATTTGGAAGTTTGATCTTGATTTTGGGGAAAAGGGCCATTTATGAAAAAATCCAAACGACCATGTCATGCTCAATCTTCTCGACAATTGAAAATCAGAAACTAATAGTATCAGAAGGCTCAAATCAGAATTGCAGGAAAATCTATAAAAATCAGACTAGAGTAAAATTGCTGTTCGCAAGTTTTTAGAAATCAGGGTTTACGAGTACTC